TAGTTTAGCCTGGGCAAAACTAGTTTGACCTAAGATCGGATTTTACCGGTAACATATACATACATACATAGGCACATGTAACTTACCTGCCACAAAAAATTCCTATAAACACAATTTTCCAGCAAAATTGTGTAGATAGAGGATTTTGCTCTTATAACAAAATGTTATGGCAGATAGTGGAATTTTCAAAATGAGAATATAATACCACTAAAGCTATATTTTAAGTTTGACATTATTGCCATGGCTGAAAGATTAATCGGAGCTCACGTTACCATCAAAAACTCATTTTCATCAAAATTGCAGATAGAGGGTATTGAATATAAGTCCTCGATATGTAGCAATACAGGAGTAATAGAGAAAAATTTGGAGACTTGCGGAGTAACTACAAAAGGAGAAGGGCAAGGAGCACACTTACATACAAACATACATCAGGAGAGCGGACTCAACGCGGGAAGTGCGGTCACTGGAACTTCCACGCGCGCCAGTCACTGTGCTCTCAGCATATACATACATATATGTATAATTCCCTTATATATATCTATATGCATATATACTTCCACCGTCAGACCTACTTAGTTACTGTGCCGTGCCCATATTTATAAGCATACGTATGTACATTAGACTGCATCACCAAAAAAAGTTGCGGTTTTTCCGCCGGGATTACAAAATTTATTATATTTGCAGATTTTTCAAACTTAAGCCGTTTTGTCATTTGAGAGGATTTTTTCAAAAAAAAATCTTTAAGAAACTATTTTTATTCATAATTCCATTTTTGGAGGTATTTTCAAATCGGTCCAGCTCACTTAAATCTTAATATTTTTCCGAAATATTTTGGTGGACGTCTTAAAATATAATAGATTTATAATTACAATGAAAAAATGGTAGCAATTTTTTTGTATGGGGAGTGATGCAGTCTAATGTACATACATATGCATATGTTGCCAGGGACCAGTTTTTTTTGTGCTTTGTAGATTTGCCGTTTGCTTTTATTTCTTCACTTATGGATGTTCTTATGCCTCGATTCCTTGATTTGGTTTTTTTTTGCGTCATTATTTGTTCTCTTAAGTGCTTTGTATAATTAGAGCCGAAAATTAATACTTTTATCATAAGTATATTTCGAGGGATGAATGCCGGATTTTCCTTTTGTTTATTAATTTAGGGATTTTTTTTTTGTTTTATACCTACATTTAGATAATATTAAGCTTCAGAAAAATGTATTTAACTAATTTGATCCATTTTGTTGTTAATTCCAAGTAGTTTACGCCTTAGTATAATCCTCCTACACGTCAAATCCTCCGGTGAATAGTTGAATTATTAATAGTAGTCTTTACGGGAGCTCCATCCCTTCCGAAAGCGAAATCCAAATGAACCCAACTCTTAGAAGTTATGCGGTACCCTGAATGAGCAGGCACTGGAAGTCTGTTTGTGCATTTCTATTTCCTCCTTTTTCAGCTTCACATCTCTGTGGATTAGTGGTCGGCAAAAGTTAAACTGTGTTTGTGTTGGTATGCACAAGAGAACTGCTTCGCATGAGCAACCCAGTAGGAAATTACGAGAAGTGAAAAAATTTTTAACTTATCGGTCTTCAATAAAAACACATAAATACGTATATTTAACACATACATATGTACATATATGTGCATCGCTCATTTACTATAAAAGTATCATAATCCCAATAAAGCAAAAATCGGGTTAAGTATGCAAGAATGTACATTAGCTCTTTCTTATGATGTGTTACAATTTTATGGATTACTAGTAGCTCACTAGAACAAAATCAACCTTATCCTGACTTTCGCCCGAAAAAAAATTCACCCGAAAAATGTTCATCCGCTTGGAGAAAATGAAACTCATGACAAAGCTGAATATGTATTAATTTTCCCTCGGGAGTATATGTAAATTCAAAACTTTAAAACTGGTTTTCTCGAGTTTATAGTTTTTTAAGTTATGAAAATATTGAAGTAAAACTCAAATAAAAAATTTAAAAATTCATTTGGATTCATCAACGCCAAATATTGAAAATTTAAATAAAAAAATTTAAATTCATGTTCATCAAAATTTTCCATATCATTATGAAATGATTAAAAATGTCTTTTAATCGCATACATATTGCCTTTAACAACCACCCTTTAATTCCTTGGAAAAAAAATTTACTTTTTTTCAATAAAGTCGTTGTATTTCTTCGTCATCAAAATATTTCCTTATGAAAAGAATCAAAATGTCTTTGAATAGCATATTCTTTATTTTTTAAATGACCTGTAACACAAAAGGCATTGCATGTCACCAAAAGCATTTTCAAGCATGTAATATTTCTCGCAAGGCATTTTTGCATTCAAGAAACAAAGCGCAACAGCCAAACACGATGTTGATTCGTTGCTTGCTCAGCGACTAGGGACACGAATTTCGATACGATACGATACCATATCGATACCGATATTTTTTACTCGATAGTTTTAAAACGATATTTTTTGGAATCGAGTACCAGAATCCTAGTATCGTATCGAATGTCATAAACTCAAATTAGTCAGCTTTCAGACACGTCAAGTCTTGCTTTCAAGTCTACTCGTTCCAAGGCGAAGGAGGTGAGAAGGGAAGGGGAAGAGTGCAGATACCTCCCATTTAAAGAACCACGAACTTGAATTCAATAAAAATTGACGCGTCTGGATGCAAATAGAAAACACAAAAGAGAATGCGAAAAAATTGCTTTCAAGACTTATCTGATTATCAAGCCCTCCCGATATAAATTGGGCTTTAAAGAAAAGAAATTTTTTACTATCGTTAGGATTGCATGTGGCGGGATTTGAACACGCGGTCTCGGTGTTTTAACTCTACGTGTAAAAATAATAGATTGGCGATTACAAAATATTTAGCGTTTGGCCGAGCTTCTCCTCCGATTTGATGCGTGCGCCTTGATGTTGTGTCACAAAGGTCGTTTTTATGAGAAGCTGTTTTTCATGGCAGAAATACGCTCGGAGGTTTCTAATCACTTTTTCAGATATTTTTTTTTTTTGGATTTTGGTATGGATATTTGCGATATCGAGTCTTTTTATTCCGATATTAATGGGTACCCGATATTTTTCCAGCGATTTTTTTTCATTGAATTTTATTTATTTTATACATGCTGTATACAAATACATATAATTTTTACATAGGCATGTATGTATCTTCTTAGATGGTTTGGTAGTTTCTTTTTGATTTTTTTGTTGTTGAATTCACATCTTTTTATACATACATACGGACATAGATACATATACAGTGGTGGAAGAAATAATAGAAACCCTGCTATGGAGGTATCTTACGAAGTTATAAGTAATGGTCAAGATTGCAGTACCCAAGCATACGAACCAAATATTCGCTTTGATTTTTCGAAAGCCAACTTTAAAATGCTTAACAAAGAACTGTCTAAATTGTCGTGGGCTGCATTTAAAGAAAATATTGAAGATAGCGTTGCACTTTTTAACTTTACTTTACATAAATTATTTGAAAAGCATGTGCCTAAACGCATGTATGTTCCTGAAGAGCAAACACAGTTATGGTTCACTAAAGAACTGAGAAATTTGAAAAACAGAAAGTCGCGTTATTTTGTATTAGAGAGAGTGTAAACATACTATGTAAAATACTCACTTTTGCGTCATAAGTTTTTTGAATTTGTTATAAAGCTTACTTGTGTAAAATCAAACGGCGTATAATATATAACCCCAAAGCGAAATTTACGTGGGTTTCCTTCCGCCATGGAGTATCAAAACACCGTCTCTCGTGATAATCAAACAATTTCTGACATGTTCGCTCAGTTTTTTAAATCCAATTATTCCATTAACTCACATGCTAACATTGACTATCCTTTTAAACTATGTCCAATGAACTCAATAAATATCCCAGTAACATCTCCTGATGATGTAGTAGTTTATCTGAAATCCTTAAAGCAGTCCTTCAGTTATGGTCCTGACAAGATCCCTACTTGTATACTTATAAATTGTTCTGATTATCTCTATGAGCCGTTAACAGCGATATTTAATTTATCTCTTAAAGAGGGCGTTTTTCCAACTGTATGGAAGGAATCGTTCATAACCCCGTTACATAAAAGCGGTAGCAGCTCTTCAGTGGAGAACTACCGGGGAATAGCTAAGCTTTCTGCAATTCCTAAATTATTTGAAGCAATTATAACAAATCAGTTGACGCATTCTATCTCTTCTAGCATTTCATATAGTCAACATGGATTTTGCAAGGGCAAATCAACTTCTACAAATTTACTTGAATTAACATCCTACATATATCTCAAAAGCATTTAGTGAAAGCAAAACTGTTGATGTTATATATACTGACTTCAATAAAGCATTTGACAAAGTGTGCCACTCGTTGCTCATCTATAAACTTGATCTTCTTGGTCTTCCACCTAATTTTCTACGTTGGATCTCTTCATACCTCTATGATGGATCACAAAGGGTAATGTTTAAAAATACTATCGCTGACGTCATTGATGTTACTTCAGGAGTCCCTCAAGGTAGCCACCTAGGCCCGGTTCTGTTCTTGCTTTTTATAAACGATATTTCTACAAATATACAATTTTCCAAAATTTCAATGTATGCAGATGATGTAAAGCTTTATAAATCGTACGTTTCAATTAAAGAAAGGTCTTTGCTACAATCAGACTTAGACAGCACGGCTTACTGGTGTCAAGTAAATCTTATGCCTCTAAATCTTAAGAAATGTAAAGTAATGAGCTTCTCGCGAAGAGCTGTTCATCCCGCTT